AGTTCATAGGATGACGACCTCCCATCTTATCAGGATAAACATCAGACAAAAAGATAAAAGTTAGATAAGCCCATAGACTTCCATAATGAATGCAATATTATTTAACACCTTCCGTTTCCTCTTACTTTTTAAAATCCTCCCCTCCAGTAAACATAACAAATTACAGCGTCAGCAGGTTGGTCTGCCAGTGACCGCAGCAACGACCGCACTCCCTGCAACAATTTAACAACAAGTTGGCAATGCCATACCATCGATTCCTTGACACCAGGCCAATGACCTAAGGACCAAAAGGGGGTGCCGGAGAACAGAGAGGACAACCAGAGTCGGGGTCACTGTGGAGTAACCGGTTGCAACAACAGATATCACAGGACGCCATCAGCTTGCTTGCCTGCGCGAACGTTGCTTTTTTTTCATGAATAACTTCTTTGTGTCCTATTTTTTCTGACTTCTGTCCTTCCATCCAACTTGTCTGATACATAGGCAAGGTTATAGGACTAGGTCATTTCATTCATACAAACTAGAACGACAGCCTCGTGTTCTAAGTGTTTAATGGTAACCAAAATTATATAAGCTTGTTTGACGAGTGGTAAGTATACCACGTTTTTCCAATTTCGACGTGGCAAAGACTAGTTTCCTTAGAAGGTAATGGTGTAGTGTATTTGTGAAGCAAAATTGCTTCACTTCGATATTTGCCATCTTAAACCCTTGACGGCTTGTCCAGCTAAGGGGCATATTGCCGTACAAATCTGGACTAAATCTGAATCCATCAATCGGATATAGCTATTCTATCTCGAGACGGGATATCTGTAAATAGATAGTTTTTACAGAATTATGAGATTACTTACCCATTCTTTATGGTCTGGCTGTCACCTCATTGCCATGAAAAAATACTCTTGTATATCGTATTACTTGAAAAGTCGATTTCTTATAACTGTAGCGATGTGCTTAATTTCTGTGTAGGTTTATAAGTAGATGGGTCCTACATTAGGACCATCTAAGGGAGCTTTGTGAATCGGCACTAGGCGTAGCAATTACGTTTTCTAGGGCTCTACTTTACACGCCGCGACCAAACAATCGCTAAATGACAGTGCTCGACCAGCTTGGTTCTATTTGTGGAAAAGGCATGGAAAAGGGTGACAGCTACATCTAACATATCAGTTTTTAATGCGCCAAAAATATTTGTGTGCACAAACCTCACACGCAATAACATGCTAACGATACATAGTTGCCTATTATATAGTTACGCGCCAATACTGATCACTATCCGTTGACAACATGACCCCGGAACTGCCACCGTCGATACGATTAGGGCTTGTGCTTTATGAAAGGCCATTGCTCTGACGTCCTAGCTACAGCTTTTTCCCAACCTGTTGCCATAAGTAACCTAGTTTTATTTAAACCTATCTTAGCTTTATTCACGAGAGTACAAAAGCATTGCCTCCTACGCGCTGCTATGTTCTCCGGGCCAAAGTGAAAGACATAACAGCGCGAGGAATAGCGGCAGCCGAAGCAATACCATAGGGGAAGCAAGTACTCTAAACGGTATCAGCAGGTTAAACGATGAGCAGTGAAAGTAACAGCTCTCATCGAATCACTAACATGCATATATATATATATATATATTGTGTCCACGTTTTACAGTGATCGTTTATAGCCGCCTTACAGCTGAGCAATTGTCAACTGTAGACACATTGCCACGCCAACGTTAACTGACCCACGTGGCCGGAACCACAATTATTGTTGTTCCACATAAATGCTATAGAACGATTTATGTGAGTGACGTTATATGTGTATATATGTTACGACAGCGCTAAGGGTGACGCTTTTGGGAACAAATAAACACCCCAATAGGCGGCTGCAAGTTGTCTGCCAATGACGAAATATAGTACAATGATAAAACTAAGACGTATTCATGTCGGTAGGCCGCTAGCTGTCACATAGAATTATTCAGTAAATAGGAATAGCCTGTGACCACCACCATCAGCGATGGTCAATTGGGCACAGATTCGATATCTTCTTGTGTGATGACGAAGACATGCGGATATGAACGTACATGTACCGTATAATAGAAATCCACATTTGTTGTCGACGCTCGGTAATATATCTGGGTATCAAGCGTCGTTCTGCCGCTCTCCATTTATATACGGATACATGTATGAAGCGTTATGTCGTTAAATGTAATGGCGAGCTCTGCAGCAACTTCCTATCAGTAGTCAATTCGGGTAACTTTCATCAGTGATATTCAAATGTGCCCGATACGGTAGAGATCTTCGAACAGTTTACAATAGTGCCGCAAGCCAAGTCTGCGTAAATGTTGTTACGCCATGACGTATTATGACGTGACGTATATACCGTGCAGAGTATCTTAACTCGTTCGTTGTCGAAATGTATTTAATTGTGAAACTGAAACTGACGGATATTGACAGCTCATAAAGTGAATGAATACCCATCCAGGCAATTGCAAAATGCAATCGGAAACGATCTGTCCATACGATACCTAATGAATCAGGTTCTAGGCGATACAGGAGTAAAATGATCCGTCTCTGTTCTCCATAGTAGATGCTCGCATCATATCTCTCTCTCTCTCTCTCTCTCTCTCTCTCTGATGAATCATTGCAGATCCGGAGAGTTAGTTGTTTGTCGGATCATGTTATTGATGGGCAGTTAGATGAAGAAATTACTCTTGATCTTAACACTTTCAATGGTGACGCCATCGTTTATTATATGACCCCAGTAATACACAGGAAGCTTTCCTCAGCAAAATGTTTATTCGTATCTGTAATTTAAGGATAAATTTATCGGTTTTGCTGCCTTCAGCGGCGAAGGCATAGTACTAATATAGAAACCGAAACACTCTATTCCTATACATTTTTTGTCCTCTGCTACGCTAAATTATGCGGATCAATTTGAATTGTTGATCTTCGGATTTGGTTCACCTGTATTCATGGGAATTTTCTAAAAGAACCTATTCACTTCTAAACTCAAATTGTACAAGAAGATTAGTTCGTTCTACTAATGTGTTGTATAATTATCTTCTTAACACACTTGAAATCGAAACACAAATGCGCTTACGATCACCCCGAACATCGTCTCGAAGATATGTTTGTAAGGGGTTTCTAAAGCAGACATTGGTGCTAAAAATGACAGGACAACGTCTCTCAGATCGGACGCTTCAGTTTAAGCACACAGCTCATTCTTCATACAGGAGCCACTCAGGTAACTAACAGTACCGACTAAAGTGCTTCAGTAGCATAATGGATCGTAGTATCTACCAGATACTGGCGAAAACTGGGCTTCTAAACTCGATATTAAAGGCCAGCTCTAGAGCCCAGCTGAGGCTTAACGACAGATGAAATACTTCGCATAGATTCATTTAGGTCGTCAGGGCCAATGAAACTATCATTCTAATAAACCAAATTTAATAAATTGCCGCTATAGAAGTTCATTTGGATTGCGTGTTCCGCAATCGTGGTGACGGAAAGTTCTTTGTACTCAATTAATCTTCTTTTGAAGAAGTCTTTTTGATCATCAGACATATTTGGATGTCTACGCAAATCAGTCATGCTAAGCAGCGATCCGTGTTGGGTCAATGTGTCTTACTATATATGATGCATTTAATAGAGGAAATAAAGTACTAATCAACATACATAGCATTTCTTTCTGAACATATATTTCCTTGAAGATTTACTTCAGGTGACGCGTAAGCGGAAACGAACGCCATCGTTTAGCATCATATGAAGGTAATGGAAATTATATCTCATTTTCAAAGCTTCATAAAAATAACAATGAACCTTGTTTTATTTGCATTTTTGTAAATTACAGAACGATTCGAGCCGTATCAGCTATATCGTCATAGTATAATTATGTCACCAAGCGATTTATACTCTGTTTTATCAACTAGTCGTTAGTTGATCATAGTAGAGGAAATTTCGTGGAGCACAGGTTCTCCAGAGGCAAAATTTTTATGCCGAATGATATTATGTGGTTTTTGCGTCATCGCTGTACTTCGGATACACTCACTTCGAAAACTTTGCGCTCACGGCTGAAGTTCAATAGAGCGTCTTTTTTGTCCGAAATCTTGTGGATCACTCAAACAGAACTTCAGTTTATCGTCGGTGCTATACCCGCGAGCCGTGCAGTCGAAGTGCTAAAGTCTACTACCAACCAACGAGGTTCGCTACGATCGTCATTGGTACTATATACAGAAAAGTCATCTAATGAAATGGACATTGTCAAACTATACTCTTCTTCGCAATCCGTCTTCTTCTGCCAATCTTTTTTTTTTACAATTGGTTTCATAAAAACCGCTCCGTATATTTGAAAATAAATCAATATGTAATATAAAACGGCTGCATTTTTACACTATCCGTAAGTATTTATTGTTCTCGTTACAGCTTGAAACGTTTGTTTGGGAAACCTCTACCCAAACGATTCTATGTCATTGGTGTTTACCACGAGAGACATGGAACAATTCAAAGGAACACAGTTATGTCCTGCATATGTGCTCAGTATTTTGTCTAGCTATTCTCAGTCGGTGCTGAGTGACTCAGCCAGTGTACATGGACGCATTCGGCTTTCCTTTTGGGTTCTACGTACCTGACGTACAGGGTGAAATCCCTAGACGCCTCTCAAAAAGAAAGTTTTCTCAAATAACCCCTCACTTCTCCTTTGTTCATATGTCCATCCTATTTTGATATTTGACTGTTTTTATAGATGTTAAGGTTTTTACGATGTCAACAATTCAACCATTTCGCTAGTTCGCGTTGGTCTGACCCGCAATAACAGTAACAATTTAAATAAGTATCTTGAATTTATGCGTCCGATGTTGCCGTTAAGCATTGCTTCAGACAGCTGGCCTTTTCCAACATAAAAGCTAAGTACATTCACACTAAGTTACGAACTTAGACGGCCTCCCGTTTTCCTAAATTTAGTAGGCAAGCGCGGCAGTTTACCACTGCACCACCAAGGCGTCAACTGGGGGTGGTACGTCATACACTTACCGAACAACAGCCTTTCCTCTTCGACAGCCGAACTACCGGTGCCCGAACTACGCGCGCTTTCATTCGTCATCACCATCATCTTTGACGCCGTTGTCACCCTGGTGGCGTGAACATCGTTAGGTTACCACTACAGATGCCATCGTTACCACCATCACTCCGCTGTATGTTCCTAGTTGCTGAAAAGACCTTGTTCTAGTCAGAAAACGCCTGCAAGACTTAGAATGGCCCACGAATGAAAATATTTCACTGCATCTGGGTGCTCCTTCACTAGCTACTTTTATTACGAACTGCACATTAAGCTACAATTGATCAGCTCGCCATAAAGTTTAGTAGTTCAACGTAAATGGTATACGGGTCACCGGTCGTTGCGCTGCACGAGGTGACTTGTATCCTGGCGCACACTATCTCGCGCACAATCCGTTTTGGCTGAGCACCTCAAACCTTGTGACTCATATCGAACCTTTTCTCTTAACTAAACACGACTTGAAATAAAGACTGTCTCACCATTACACCGTCCCACATACAATTTTTGCATTTCTTAAAAAGCACATGAATAGATTTTCTACAGATTCAGACGACTGCTGCTGGACGGCTCAATACTCTGCGGGTGCCGCAGGTTGTACAGTTTCCCCGACTACGACGACTGCAACGCTGCTGCTGCTGCTGCCGTTGGTAATGATGATGATATGAGCGTGGTACCTATTTGCTTTTAACTTTTTATTTAGCACGTCTCGTTACCTCCCTGCGGCTGTGGCCTTATGTAGTGGCCTGTTCTATCCAATGTTGTATGCGTCACACGTGTTGTCTGTTCGAAGGGGCCGCTCCGTTCAGACGTCATATGCTGTTATGATAGACGCAACTATTGTCGGCAGATAGTACGTGTAATAGATATGGACAATGCAAGCGGAATTAAATACATTGAGACAAAGAGGACACGCCGTACCGAGTAATCCTGGAAGGAGCGTTACACCGAATAGCCAAACGATCTGGCTTGCAGGCACACACGTCCTATAGGCTTCGGAAAGCCAAATTTGATCCCAATATGGTATGGTGCTAAGCGGATAGATCGTAAATAGAAAAACTCCAGTAGCAGGAACAATAAAGAAAGACACCGAAAAAAGGAAATATCACAAATCCTCCTACCACAATATGATTAATAAAAATTTCGCTTCTAAACGCGGAGAGCACATTGCATCTAGAAAGTCCACGCACGCACTTACACCAAGACATTTACATCAACTGGGTGTCGCTATCGGAAGAAAACACGACGACGAGAAAACAATAGTGGCTATAGTTAAAACTTGGCCTGTTTTATTGACCTGATCGTCGCGCAGCTGTCGTTCTCGGTAACGTCTGCTGTTCGACAGTTGTTTTCTCACCAGTAAGCGTAGTAAGCTGCAACGCGAAACACTGCGCACGATATAATCGGTCGTCTGCAGTCTTCGTTTCGCGTGACTGCGGTGTGAGCGACCCGGTTGTGCAGTTCTACAGCTGAGAAGGGCAGGCCGATAGGACGCCAGCGCGACTAGCCAGTGACTAAAGATGATGTGGCCGGAGGCGCTTTGCTTGTTTCAGCGGCTCGTTCCAACAAAAATAGTTGATAATGACCATACGGAGTTGGCTTCCAATCGAAGTTGTGGCTGTAGCCGTAGCAGCTAGTTGCTTGTTCAGCTCATTCTAACCTTCTCCGAACACCGTTACTGTCAACACGGCTATTGCTGTTACTGCTGTGCGTCTCTGATTATGTTCATGATGTTTGTCTATCTATCTCTAGGTCTACGCGACGCGTCCGACGACTCGAAACAGACAGAGCGGGTTAGAATAGCAGATTCGGTAGCGGCGGCACAACGAGAACAACCCGGCGTCGGCCCTCCTCACCTCATCGATGGAGACGTTGGCAGCAGGGAAAGCCTGACCACTGCTGCTGCTGCTGCACCGCGTGTTTGCCTCTATTGGCCAGCACCACGTTGTCACCACAACCACCTCTGTTACGACTACTGCGGCTGCTACTGCTACCAGCCCAGCACTCAGTGTAGCAACGACATTAGCGTCGGAGGTAAAAGCTCCGTCGGTTGGCTGCCCGCCCGCCCGCCTGCCTGCCTGCTTGCTTCAGTCTCCGGCGCGATCTCAGCCTACCGCTTTCACGTCTCTGCCATCACAATCATCACGGCCACGATGCCTCGGGGTATTCTTTTTCTCTCTCTTCCTGACAATTCACTTCGACCGTCGGTGTGTCGTCGTCGTTGTTGTTATTATTATTGCCGTTGTCTTCGTCATCGTTTCGTATGTATGCCTTGTTGTCCGATTGCCCTCCTCTCGCCTCAGGCATCGTAGCGATGGCAGCGGCGGCGGCGGCGGCGGCGGCGGCCGCTGGTACAGCAGCCGATATCCTGTGTTCGAAGTGATGCTGCGTGCGTCGGCTGTTAGGACAGAGACAAAGCGCACGCGCAACGAAACGTCTGTTGTCGTTGTCCGTGCCGACCAATCGTTTGGCGCTGTTCATTACTTAGGGGTTTGAGCGCAAAGTAGCCGAAGAATGAATGCTGTTCTAGGGACCGCTAGCAACGAACAACATCGGATCTTAGACCCGACCGCTTGTCTATTTCGCAAAGGACTCGCGCAAAGTACTGGGAGCGCCTCCAGTGTACTTTGGAAACAACGCGCGCGATTTTGCCAGCGCAGAATAGCATCTTATCTTTTAGCGATACCCATTAAGGATTTGGGCAAAAGCGTGGTTTAGTAGTAATAGCAAGAGTAACATCGACCCTCTCTATAGTTTTCCGATGGTTCATTCGACCAACATTTTCATATAATGCCGCCGGCTAGCACCCTCTCATAGCTATGAAATCCTTGACTCTCCCTCTCTTTCACCTTTTGCCTGAAGGGAACGCCTGACGCTTGCTCCGGCCCGATGATGCTAACACCAACTCGTAGAACGACGGCACCAACGCGAAGGAAAGCGCCACCCGCACGCACAACAACGACGCAGAAGACCTGGCAGCGTTAGGATAACAGGAGCATATCTGGGTAAAACTCAAAAGAGGCCGAAAGGGTCAAGCGCTCACTTCCAGTACTACACATATAGTTTCAGCTTCTCTAACTGCTTGAACGACGTCAGAAGAGCTTTAGGGACAGTTATAAAAGGGCCAAAGTGTGTTGTGATAGGACCATCTCATAAAAACCTCAAAATATCTCCTGTTTGTTTTTATCGTCTGCACTGGCAAAAATCGTTACTAATCGCGCAATATTCTCCAGATGATGTATCCCCCATTAAAGTGCAGATAACGATATTTTTTCATCATTGTCTTTCTCCTATCAAACTGATTAGTGCACTACGTTTGGTATTTGATCAAAGTTTCTACATGTCTACATGAAAAATCGATGGGTCTCTAAATTATTTGCTGTAAATTATGTTCTTTTGCCATTATATTGGAACTTAGAAGGAATGCATGGTAACATCATCCTAAAAATAGAAACTAACCATTTTGTTCGTCAGCTTTCTGACAGCTTTAAGTTGAAACGAAGTTACTGTTGCATGAGAAGTGAGCCATATTTAAATTAGTAGGATTACCGTCATGTTTTGGTTACATAGATCTTCTTCTTTATGGAACCCTGTACTGACTCGCCTGCTACTGCAGTCAATGTACTGGATGATTATATGGCCGTAGCGCCTATGTATTTTCATCGTACGGACCGAAAATTAAAAGCTATTATTCCTATCAAATCAAACTTAGCCGCACGTTAGAGACGCATTAAAATAAATTATACATTTTTAACCTTTATATGATGAAGCAAAGCCAAAAATTTGTACATTTGAATCCCAGTTTTATATGTTCATCAAAATGCCCCTATGAATTTGTCAGGCTTTTCGATCTGAATCATACCAAGGGCTTCACTGTGCAAAACACACAAAGCTTGCTGTGCCCAAGCCTGGGGGGAGAGCGTGAGACGACTTGCCAGACTGTGGTTGCTCCTTGATGAGATAATTAAATTATTATTATATTTATATATATAGTATAATAATAGCTACTCTTGATTCCCAGCGTTTATATGCTTTGAAAGGCTTTTGTTGAAGTGGAGTAACGGTGTTCCAAAAAAATCGCAAACTTTCATTCAAATGACTAATGATAGATGGATGGATATATACATA